GAGGCCCTCGCCTTTGCCGGACCACCACCTGAGGCCCTCGCCTTCGCCGGACCACCACCTAAGGCTCTCGCCTTCGCCGGAACACCACCTACGGCTCTCGCCATCGCTGAACCACCACACGAGGCCCTCGCCTTCGTCGGACCACCGCCTAAAGGCTTGAACTCCGCTAGACCAACACTTGAGGCCCTAAATTCTGCCAGAATATCAACTGACGCCATAAATTTTGCCAAGTCGTTGTCAGACTACTAAATGACCCCCCAATTTCCAATTGACGCCATATTTTATACTATACTTCAACCATATGGTTGACATTTGTAATATGATCGTCATCTGGGATGAGTCAACCCACTATAATCAACTCAAATTCTAGTTAAATCTTTTCAACTGAGCTAGACCTCGTGATTTTTCCCCTTTCCAAGGTTTTCCACGTAAAAAATCTTGTTTCTATGTGTGTGAGCTGGATATCCATCCAATGCTAAGACGTAAAATTATAACTCTATCGCCGCGTATATTCTAGCCCGCAATAAGAGTAATTCTAACTAATCCAAAATAAATGATCAAATTAATAAAATAAATATTAAAAAATATAACATTTAGATAATTTTTTTTTAAAAATAATAATTTTCATTCTGAACATCTATTGTTTTTTAATTTTATCATATATTTTTTATTCTCGCATAGAAATTTATCAAAATATTTATCAAATTAGAATTGTTCAATTTATAAGTAATGTTGCGTCCTGGAATATTCGCGGCGGTAGAGAAATATATAGTTTAACGTCTTAGCGTTGTACGAAGATCCAGCACACAATCAGATAAGTGATTAAATGGGTGTAAACGAGTCAAGCTGAGCTCGTGACATCCTTAGCTTGAGCTTGAGCTTGATTAATTAATTGAGTTTGAGCTTTATTCTACGAGTTTGAGTCTGATTATAAATCAACCCCTATGCTATGAAAGAGAGAAAATATTTATGATTCAAGTAATAATTATAATAAAATATATAAAAAAAGAGAAGTTAGAAAGAAAAAAAAAGGTATAGCTTAATGTAAGAAAGTTATAAGATAATTTTTTTTTCATATTTTTAATAGCTTTGTATTTAAAATACTACTAAATGGTAAGATATTTTAAATGTATTTTATATTAATATTTTCTTAAATGAGCCATCTTCGGAGCTAAGGAGTCGAGTCAGGGCTAGCTCAAGATTGGCTCATTAAATCATCGAGATTTGCTCACGAGCCATTATTGAGCCGAACTCAGGCCGGCTTGACTCACTAAGTCTCTTGGCCATGAATCATCTGAGTGCATCCAATAGTAAAGTCCATTCAAGACTTTGAGTCAATTAGTAGTTGTATATTAGAAATTGGCAAGGAAACAAACCATGAATAATCATTAGTATTGTTTTGTTTAGAAATTATCTTTGAGGTCTTATGAGCACATCCACTCATGAAGCAACTTGTACAAAGAACTCAACTACTCATTCAGAGTCCAAACTCCTCGCTAAGCCAACCATGGATTCTTGTTAGTTAAATTCATCAAAGTTAGTTAACCTTGACTAAGAACTCACAAGACATTTTCACTTAGTAGATAATTATCAGTGACACGTGTTTAATACACTAAAGCTTTTATGCATTTTTTTTAAATCCCTATATTATATATTATGCACTGTTGATCTTTGTTCATATCTATAAATAAGGTTCATATGTGGAATATCCATATTTCTAATTTAATCCAAAGATTGATCTTTCATCTTTATGAATAAAGAATAATGATCATCCATAAAGAAGATAGGAGATGATAGCTTATTCTTTGGAATTCTAATCGATCGTACTTAAAAAACTTCTAACTACAGTCTTTCATATTTTTCTAAATCCAAAAAAATTAATAAACTTAGGTTTCGTTTAGAACGACTTTCTTATCGCTTCTTAAAAAAGTTTTCCAGTACAAAAGTTAAAATTTTTGTGCTAAAAGATTGCTTTAAGAAACAATAAGAAAGTTGTCCCAAACAAAACATTAAAAGAAATCCTTAGGCTCATTAAAATCTTAAATAGATCTCTCATGATGAAGTTATCGTCTAAACTAAGCTCCTAGTCTAGAAACTTCACACTCCATATCATAAGAATAAGCTAACATTAGAAAGACAAGTCAATGATATAGTCGTATTTCATTTTTGGCTCATTGGACCTTTAATTTGCCCGTTTCAAATACTTAGAATTCTATTTGACATTTTCAAATGCTATCAATTCATCTATTATATGCTATACAGCTAATTTATAAAAAAACTTGAAAATAATTATTGCTATTTATAATAAATTTATATTTCGGCACTTGATGGAAAGGGAAAAAAGAAGAAGAGAAAATCAAGTCAAGTTATATTATGTTATCGCTCTTATAAATGTCTTGAGATTGACGCAAACAAAATTTTTTTGGCTTAATATCATAGATTATTTATGAACTCAACTTCAATGATTTAGATATATAACTGGATTATTTAAGGAGAAATTCCAAAATAATGGCTGTAAGGCTTTTTGTCACATCAACGCCAGTGTAAGCAGGATCTGTGAATAGGACGAGGAATATCCAAATTAATTCTAAGTTAGTATGAAGGCCAGGCCAACGCGCATATAGGAAAAACCTTTTTTTTTTTTGGGACATTTAGGCCATTTAAGGCAAACTCACACACACAACGCATACACAAGGACTCGAACCTTGGATCTCTTAGTTGGAAGCCTAAGCTTACAACCGATAGGCCAAGAAGAGTTGTGTAATATAGGAAAAACCTTGCGATACTACATGTAGGATGTTACTATCTAATTTCCTATTAATTTTGGCGAGAGAGACGGAAAGAGGCAGAAAGAGAGAAAGAGAGAAATTTCTTACTAATTTAGGTGTGTGTTATCGTGTATTTATTATTCTATGCGGAGTTTGGACACCATTTGGAGACCAATAAAAAAGTGTCACGTCAAAAATGTACCGCGCTCGGTACCACTCGGTACCGTACCGAGCACATAATCAGACGGAAAAATCATATGGTGTCTGCACAGAATAATAGCTCGTATCACACACAAAGAGAGAGAGATTATTGCAAAACCATTCACGCTTTTTAATGACAACTGGTATTGACAAGGATAGAATAAACTCTTATTTCCGATTTCCCAAAAACAAATCCTTACTTCTCAACAAGATATGACAGAGTTTATAAAGCTAACAATAGCCACTTAAATTATTAAGAATGAAACTTATCATTTAACACAAAAATAAATAAAACTATCGAGTTGAGAATAAGGTTAAATACTAAAAAAAGAGAGCTAAGAGAAGGTTCAATTTGTACACTCATAAGTGGTTCCATCCAAGATAACTTCAAATTTCTATAGCATCAAATATTGATCGAAGACAACGAGAGGCACCAAGCTGCCTGGTTGAGCCAATACTTGATGGTACTCAATTACTCATCATTACTCTTAAAAAAAAAAGTAAAACATTTTGCCATAATGAATTAGGGCACAATAATGATCCAGAGTATATGCGATTTATGTATAGATCATCCAGTATTCAGGTAAAATATAACTAGAACAAAATGTTTTGGAAGGAATAATTTTTAAAAGTTTTGGTGTGTCAATATTTGATACAACCAGAAAATCTGATATGAACCCGACACTGAAATTTTGGGATCGGGTTAGGGATTTCGATCTATTTGTAAAACTGGGTCGGGTTCGGGTTGACCCAAAAACCCGGAAATGACATGGATTGACCCGCGCTGCCCGAGCTGACCGTACCTACCCGCACTGATCATGGCTGCCAGCGTTGCGTCCCGCGTCACGTTTACCCGTGTTGCTTCTGCCTGCCATGTTGACCCACCTACCAGCGTCGAGTCTGCCTGCTAACAAGTGACGAAACTGCAGCTGCCGCCAGCCACCGCTGCAGCCGAAACGCCGCTGTCGTGCCAGTTCCGGCGTTAATGTGTCCCCAGGTCAGGTCGGGTTGACTCGAGCCCAAAGCAGGTTACTTTTGGTTATGAAAAACTGACCTGTTTGTAAAAAGCAGGACGGTTCGAGTTGAGCTAAGTAGTGTCGGGTTCGACCGGAACCCGATCCGTGACCTGACATTGACACCCCTAGCGAAAACCAATTATCCAAAGGGAATGAATTATCAACCTTTGAAAAAAACAGGAAAATAGGTCGAGCAGCCACTCGACCATGAAAAGAGGGGAAATCAGTGAACTTATAATAGTTACCCGGAAAGAACATTTTAAAAGAATTTGGTATCATTGGGTTCACCAAAACAAGAGAAGAATTTCTAACAGCCACCTAATCATAAGAGGATTCTAGAAAATTTGTAATAGTCACAAGCAAGAAAAAAACATCAAACACATTCTAGCCAACACAAAAACCAAAAATACCTCTATCAAATAATGTTCCAAATAGTAAGGAATTCAAGACCATTTACTATCACTGTAGTAAATCAATATGGCCAAATCAAATAATCAAAGCAACGAATTGACAAAATGAGGATGAATAATCGGTCGAGTCCGGTTAACCAGAACTTGGACCAGGTTGGATTCGGGTTGGAAAAATTAAAGTGAATCAGGTCAAAATCTGCTGAGTCAAAATTGAGTTGGACCCGAACCCGACCCCTAAACACGATTTGACAACCCTAATTTTAGTGTTTCATGCAAAGAATTCATAGAAGAATAACAAGGAGGCTCACAACTTCCTTGCTCTACAAGAAAAAAAATTTGTTTAATTTCAAAGATTTTTATGAACTCCTTATCTGGATAAGTAGAGGGAGAAATTCAAAAATATTGACTAGATGACTTTTGTTGACATCAATTAATGGCAGTGACTTGTAAGTAGAATCTGTGAATAGAATAAGGAATAAACCCTAAATTAAATCGAACCTACTTTGAAAGCCAGACCAACACGTAATAGGAGAAACCTTGCGATACTATAAGTAGGAAGTTACTATGTAATTTCTTATCAGTTCGGTTTGAATATAATTTCTCAATTAAATGGTATTGTAGATGAATTTACTTAAAAGAAAGGTAGTTATTTGACTATTTCAATGACTTTTCAGTCCTCGTCGGTGGGAGCAAATCAGTACAGACATCTAATACTTCTAATTGAGACCTTTTTTTCTTCACATTCTGCTTTGGAGCTCCAGAAAGTGTATCCAAAAGGCTTGGAATGGAGCGACAGCTCAAAAAGTTATAAAAGAGCACAAGCTAGCACTCCAGGTTCTAATTCATCTCTCTTTCTTTTTCTGAAACCCAAAATAGTTCTATATTTTTCACTCTTCTTCTCTGCACAGCTTGAGAAGGAGCACAAAAAAGTAGTTGGAGATTAGATAACAAATCCAAGAAAGCAAAATGATGGAGGAGGAAGCTGTTAGCTCATTGGGGGAGGTGATCTATGTCGCTGTTGGGACAAATTTGGTGAAGGAGAAGCCAAATTTATTGTGGGTTATGAGGAATTTTCTTGGAGCTGAAGTTGTTCTTATCCATGTTCATGTGCTCTCTAAGGGGATTCCAATGAGTAAGATTTCTAATAGCGACAAGCTTAAGCTATTCATGTCCATTAATTGCTCCTTTTTTTATCTCATTTGGGTGAGCTAAAAAGTAATTAATTGGCGTCATCATCAAAATGAGGAGAATCTTAATCTCAAATAAATGGTTTATGGAAGTTTTGATGATAATATATGCTTTGTGGTTATGGATCATGAAACTTCTGAAAGGCTACAGCTTGTGATAATTACAATTTCTCTTGTTGCTCTTACAGTGGGGACTAAAATTCTACCTTCCATCGCATCTGAATATGCAATTAGGAAGTACAGGAAGGAAGAAAGGGAGAGGATGACTGAACTAATGATGAAATACATTAATTTTTGCCAGCAGAGGAAGGTAGAAAGTTTATTAATCATCTTTGCTTCTCCTTATAGTTCATTGCCTAGACAAAACAAACATCAAGAAGAATATTATTGATTCTATAGCACAGATCATATTGATACTAGGGGTGCAACTGAGTCAAGCCGACTCGCGAGCCGGCTCGGACTTGACTTGGTAACAGGCTCGACGAGTTGAGCTTATCGAGCTCGTGAGTCGAGCTCGAACACAATTTCGAGCTTGAGCTCGAACAGGCCTCAAACTCGACTCGTCAGTTCGATGAGCAGCTCGACGGCGGAGCTTGCGGGCGGGAAATCCTAATCCACAGAGCTCGCGAGGGGGGAAATCAAAATGACGGAGCTCGCGAGCGGGAATTCCAAATCGACGGAGCTCGCACACAAATCTCGACAGCAGACAAGCTCTTGACGACGACATCAGACGCGAGTTGGGAAAGACAACTGAGAAGATCTCGAAGACGACGTCCGTCATTTTCGACTACGAGCTCGAGTCCTCGTGATGACGTCGCCGGAGTTCGGGAAGATGACGACATCCGTCATTTTTTACTATGAGCTCGGGCCCTCGGGGCGATGTCACTGGAGTTCGGGAAGATGACGGAGAAGATGATGAGCTCATGACGGAGGATATGATGGTGGAGGTCAGGAAGACGGACGTGACGACGGACACAATGACAAGGGATGGAGTTCGACAACGTCATCGTAATAATTTTACCAATAATTTTTAAGCTTTACAATCTTATCCTAAGCTATTGATATTAAATCCCCACAAACCACCCTAATATGTTCAAAATAATATGCAAATAAAACTTAAGAACAAATAACAAAAATCAAAGAGAGGAGATAGACAAATTCATTAATTGAGTCAAAGATCTCTGTTTTATAAGAAGCATTGTGAGCTTCTAAAACACTTCATATGTGTTAATATGAGATAATTTTTTACAAGAAGAATATCATCAACAAAATGGTATTAATGCCATCAAGCACTTTGAGCATTCCTCCACTTTAACCATCTAATTTAAATTCTACTAATAGTATCCACGTCTATTTCACCATCAACTCCCTCTCTAGCTAGTCTTATTAACAAGAAGAATATCATAAAAAAATGCATACACAATGATACAATCTCTTACAAATGTCTACCGATAACATCCATGGTCAAAGCAAAAAGACATGGGCTGATGACAGAATAACTTATGGCGGTTTCAGCGACTGAGGTGATGAATGACAGAGATAAATGTGGTGTATGAAGGAGACGGAGGTGGCGTTCGGTGGGAGGTGATTCACTCGATCGGGAGCGAAGCAAGAATGAAATGAATAGCAAGACGATCACAAATATCGCTGGTAGGGAAAATAGGGCCTTTTGCGGCCGTACCAATTTTCTGTCAGAGATGTTTGCGATGGTATTTTCACTAGAAATTTTTGTTGTAATTAAGTGAGTTGGCAGGTTTTTCATTTGAAGTTTCATCAGACAATATTCAGGTCTTTTTCTACTGGCAGGTATCACCGAATTTTAAAAAAATAGGCGACTCTATGGGCAGGTTTTTTGTAGGTAATGTTTTGGTGGTTTATTCGTCGGACTACCCGCAAGTAAGTGACTGGTGGAATATCTGTCGGTTACACCACTGCTATTACTAACGGATATAATACCACCGTGAAGTCTGTTGGTAATGCCAGTTTTTTCTGTAGTAGCCATTGGACCTTCATCTGCCAAAAAGTCCCTCAAGGAGTAGAAGTTTAGCTAGGGACTTAACAACTCTTATAATTTATTGAAAGCATTCTTGTGATTGATAGAATCTTTATAAAGAATAGTTTTTAAGATATTGTCTTGAGTGTTGAAAGCATCGTTGGAATTTTCTTTGCCATGGTTGTAGTCAAGGTATCCCCCAATCCATATTTGATTCACAGTAATGACTGATGTTAGGATGTTAAAATGAACGACTTTTTGATATTAGAACAAAAGTGGTCCCACAGTAAAAAACGATGTTCTTTTAAGATTAGAACAAAAGTTGCCCCACAGTCAAGAACGACGTTCTCACATACAGTGTCAAACTGTTGTATCCTAAAATATTTGTGGTGGTAGAGAAATATAAAGTTTAGCGTCCTAACTTTATACGAAGATCCAAAACACATACATATAAAAGAGTAGAGCTACAACTTTCATAAGAGATACCAAAATTTTTATGTAAAAAATCATGAAAGGGGAAAAATCATGGGGCATGGCCCAATTTCAATGAATCCACTAATATTTACGGTTGATTACAAATAAGGCCTTTCCTTAGGAGGAAGGCCTTGGCTCGATGTAGGCAATATACATTATATATAGTGGATTACATGGTGGGAGTTGGAAGAATCAATGTTGACATGTTTGTTCGGTCAGCAGGATCATAGTCGATGAATGATGTAGGTCGGAGGACTGTAGTCAGGTGACGGTGGTCAGAAAGATCATAGTCGGGTGAAACGTTGGAAAGACCATAGTCGGGCGACGGCGAACAGAGTGACCGCAATCAGCAGGTGACGGAGACCGAAAAGACCTTAATCGGGCAACGGTGGAAAGATTATAGACAGCGGTTGACAGTGGTCAGAAAGATCATTGCATGACGATGGAGGTCAGAAGGATCATAGTTGCAAGGGGATGGAGGTTAAAAAAGGCCGTTGTATGACGACAGAGGTTAGAAGGACCGCAGCGACGACAGTGGTCAGAAAGATAATTGTCTAGCGACGGAGGTCAAAAGGATCGTTGTATGGCGATGGACGTTAGAAGGACCGTAGTCGGCGGGTGACGATGATTAGAAAGATCATTGCCCAATGATAGAAATCAAAATGATCGTTGTATAGAGACGGAGGTCAGAAGAATCATAGTCAGTGAGTAACGGTGGTCAAAAAAACTATTGTCTGGTGACGGAGGTTAGAAGGACCATAGTCGGTGGGCGAAAATGGTCAAGCTAAGGTCAGAAAGACCATAGTCAGGCAATGGTGTTCGAAAGGTCCAACGACAGTCGGTGGCAAGGTTTAAATCCAGCGTCAGTTGGTGGTTAGGTGTAAGTTGGGCGATAGTTGGTGGCCAAGCCTTAGTTCCGTGATAGTTGGTGACCGGGCAGAAGTCCGGTGAAAGTCCGACAACAATCGGTGGTAGGGCGGTGGTTGAGGAGGAGCTTGGCGGCAAGTGAAATCTATGATTTCTCTTCTTCTCCTATTCTCTTTCCTTTTCTTCCCCCTTTACGTACTCTCCCTCCTCCTGGCCCCCAATGAAGAATGAGGGGTCTATTTATAATTTTTTGGGAGTGGCATGACCAATAAATAGGGAAAAGGTCAAGGGCATATTAAAAGTGTTTTGAATGGACGGTCGATATCGACTCCCTTGATCATAGATTGTTTATTGTGTATTTGAGTTTCTTAGTGATATCATAATTTGGCAATCTTGGGCTCGTTGGATTCATCTCGTTGAGTCGCTAGATTTGAGTATAGGCATGTTACATTTGGGAATAGTTTTGTCATTCAATTTATGATTTGAACCTTTCAAATGCGCTTCAAGTATTCGATTTGGACCCATTTGGGTTCTGATTGGGTCGAATTTGGTGTTGTTGGGTTTATCTTTTAGAGACTTTAAGTTTGACAATAATTTTGCTAAAATCAAAGTTCATATGGCCCAAATTTAATTTTGAAAGTTTTCAATACCAATTTGCCTTGAAATATGTGCTCGATCAAGATAAATTTTTAATGATATATCAAATGTATTAAAGGAAATCTATAATTTTAATTTTTTATTTAAAGGGCATGTATAGCATTAATATCTAAATGAGAATATATTTAAATGTAGGGTTGTAACTGAGACGAGACGACTTGGACTCGGCTCGATAAATGACATTTGGGTTGAGCTCGATGAGCTAATGAGCCAAACTTAAGTAAACCCTGATTGATACTCTTTTTCTCTTGAGCTGATTTGTTTAAAAATATTAATGTAACATATAGTTAAATTATATTAGCTTTTAAGAGTTTAAGCAAAAAAATTGTTAAAAATATTTAAAAGTTAGATCTCACTTCACTATACCAAACTATTCATTATTATTTGTCTTTTAATTTCTCATTTCTCATTTTTTAACTATTTATTATAGAAATTACTTAAATCAAAATCAGTTTTTTTATAATAAATGTTCTGGTTAGTAAACCGAATAGAACTCGTAGAATTAAACTCGAGTTCAAAATCAAACTCAAGTCAGTAGTAACCTAAGCTTAGCTTGACTCATTCACACGCTTATATATATTTGTTTTTTTCTTGTTTTCTGAAGGTGCAAGTCAAGGCAGCTGTGATACAAAATAATGATGTTTCTCTTGGCCTTCAAAGACTAGTTCAAAAGCATCAAATAAAAAGGCTTGTTCATGGATCAAGGTAATTGTGGAGGCATCTATATATTACATTAAGCTGTTGTGAATTTACATGCATAGCACTCAAAATTATCCAATTTTCATATTTAACACAAACTTCGCCATTTATAAAATATAAAACTCCATTAATGAAATTTGACAAAGCTCTTGACAACAAAGACAAGATCATGAAGGAGCGTGACAAGACCTTGCCAGATAACGAAGAAATGAGACAGTTATGATGAAATCTAGCTGGGAAGAGTATCCAAGAGACTTGCAATGTGAGTAAGAAAAAGAAGAGATCAGAAAGTTGTAGCAAGATCCAACTAGGAAGAGGATTTGCGAGATTGGTGGCATGCGAAGGAGAAATTATTCCGTGCGGAGTCCAGACGGTAAAGAATCGTCCGGATGTGAGTGTACATAGTGTGTACACTGAGTACAATTTTGTACACAGTTTAGATTTTTCTTTATATACAGTCTGTACAAACACTATGTACACTCATATCGGGACGGTTCTTTACCATCCAAACTCCACATGGAATAATTTCTCCATGCGAAGGAAGAGAAAGAGCGACAAAATGCAATGGCGGCACCTGAAAGATGAGTAGTTGACTTCATCTTCATCAATCAGGGTTTTGCTAACCGAGTGATATATTTTTTAAATAGCGAAGTTTGTGTTAAATATGTAAAAGAGATTTTGGTTAGTGTATCCTAACCAATAAAGCCAGGCTCAGTTTTGTCCTTTGGGGGTGCCTGATATGATTCTACGTACTTGTGTAGGAGAAAAATATGTCTTCAATTTAGACATTAATGCCCAATTTTTCATTACTACAATAATATACACAGGTCCATATCGAAGCAAGATGCACTTCTTTCTTGCTGCCAATTGTGGTTTGTTTGTAATGGAAAGCATATTTCAACTAGGTACATACATGCATGCTATTCACATATAATTGTCTTTTCTATGCCTAATATTTAGATAAATTTTCTCAATGTTTTTGTGAATGAATGATGCAGTGGAGCCACACTTATCCCTCGTAATCCAGAGGAAGAAGAACAATATTGGTCAACATTGTCGAATCGATGGGACTCAGAAGATTACTTGCCGTTTGTTTCGCCTCCAAATGATCGGGTGTGAGTTTGATTAATAGCGAAGATATTAAATAAATGTGTTTTCAGCTTTATTTGAGACAATTTTCTTGCTGCTTTTTAAATTAGCTTTTTAGTACACAAATTTTTTGAAAGCAATGAAAAGCAATGGCCAAAAGTTGTCGCAAATGAAATCTTAGATTTCATTTGGGACAGCTTTCTTACTGCTTTCTATAGGAGCTTTTTGGTACAAAAAGTTTTTGAAGTATAAATTTTTGTACTAGAAAACTATTTTTCTTTTCTTGTCACAATTAGAAGTTAGTTAGAACTTAAGCTCATTTGATGCCTTGTTTCTTAAGCCAGATCATGATATAATTTGGTCTACTCTTAGTAGTTCGAACTAACATGTAATATCTGACTTTACAGGAAGATGAAGTTGTTAATGATGTGGAGGAAACTAGACCTGGGACACCTGCAAGGTGCTCAAGATGCTCAACCAAAGATGCTATCAATGCAGAATCACTGAAGCAACAATTGGCCGCAAGGGTAAAATAATTAGTATCTCCTGTTTTTTTATGCTTGGAAATTAGATAAAAAAATGAAATGGCTAACATACAATTAGATAAAAATTTTAAGTAAATTTTAGGGCAATCATTAGGATCAAATAGTTGTGTGTGTTAAAAAAAAATATTATTATTGTTGGCTAGAATATACGCGACGATAGAGTTAGAATTTTTCATCTCAACGTTGTATGGATATCTAGCACACAAACAAAGAATTCAGAAACACAATCATCCAACTTGAAATTTTGAAGACTTAATTTGCATAATCTTATGACATCAAAGTATTATTATTATTATTATATTGTTGTCTTGTGATATCTTAAATCTAAAAAGGGCAATTCAAAAAAAAAAAAAAAAAAATATGACATTTTGAATCAAAAGATAATGGGAATTTTAGAGTAAAAAGATCGAACAAGGAGTGTCTACTAAAGACTTCTAGGATGTCACACTTCTATGAGAAAAAAACGAGAATTGAATGAAGAGAATTTGATATTGAGTTGTAAAAGTAAGAGTTACATCATATTAAGTAAGGCCCCCTTTGATATAAAGGATAAAGCCTCCTTTCATATAAAGGATAAATTTATAACTTGTACAATTAAGGATGTTCATAATAGATCACTCTTAGAATTAGCGGCCTACTAAAAAAATACATAAAAATGATAAGATCGTGAGATTCAACATATTGTGGGATCTTTTGGACAAAAGTAGGTAGTATGATCTTAGTTATTTTATAAGTTAATTTTTTTTTCCTTCAAAGTGAGATTTGGTTTCATGTCACATTTTTTTACTAGAAGCCTAACATGAGCCACTCCTCTAGACTTAGCCCCATCAATCACTTCCAAAAAACTTTTTAGGCAATCCTCTTCAAATTTGAGATGTCAATAAGAAGACATGAAATTAGAAAAATTATGTCTATGGTATAAAATTAATATAATGTAATTACTTACGCCCGCCTGTCAGTTGTTGTACGCGCGCGCCCCGCTGCTGCCCGAGCTGCTCCTGGCCCCCCGCTGCCACCCACGCTCTCGCCTGCCCGCCTACGCGCCTGTGCGCACCCGCAAGCTCGCCTGCTCGCGCACTCGTGCACCCACTAGCTCGCGCGCGTCCGTGCTTGCGTCCATGCGCCCGTCCGAGTCGGGTCAACCCGTGTCGGGTTAGGTCTGGGTTCGGATTTCTGACCCGTTTACCTACCCGGGTCGGGTTAGGGTCGACCCGTTTGAACCCGGGTCAATTTCGAGTTCAACTCGAACCCGACCCGTGACCCGAAATTGACACTCCTATCCTTTAGTATAATGCATAATTCATGGACAAAATGTGTGACACCTAGTTAAATTATGACATTTTGAATCTAAAGAGAATGAGAATTTTAGAGGAAAAAGATTGAACAAGGAGTGTCTACTAAAGACTTGTAGGATGTCACACTTCTATGAGAAAAAAGGGGGAATTGAATGAACTAATTCCTACATAAAAAAGGGGGAATTTGATATTGAGTTGTAAAAGAAATTAAGAGTTACTTCATATTAAGTAAGGCACCCTTTAATATAATGGGTAAATTTATGACATGTATAATTAAGCATAGTCATAATGGAACACTTTTGGAATTAACAACCTGCTAAAAAATTACGCAAAAATGATAAGATCGTGAGATTCAACATATTATGAGATGTTTTGGACAAAAGTAGATAGTATTTTATATAGTATGGTCTTGGTTATTTTATAAGTTAATATACATTTTTACTCTTCAAAAGTGAGATTTAGTTTCATGTCCCATTTTTTAAACTAGAAGCCTAACATGAGCCACTCCTCTAGACCTTAGCCTCATCAATCACTTCCAAACAACTTTTTAGGCAATCCTCTTCAATTTGAGATGTCAATAAGATGACATGAAATTAGAAAAATAATTCGTATTGTATAAAATTAATACAATGTAATTACTTTTATATGTTACTTCTAAAAGCATCGACATAAGTTAAAAGTTTAAGAGTAGCTAGTTTTAAATGCTCATACTATTTTTTTTATTCAAAAATTGGTCCTAAGAAATCACCAAAGACTAAGAAGTCATAATTTCAAAAATAAAAATCCAAGCATAAAAAGATCCAAAAAATTTAAAAATATAAAGTTTAATATCGAAAAATTTTGGGTGAAGAATAAACACACAAATGATATTATAATGACTACATTAATTAGAAGAAAAAATAGTTCCATGTTTAGGAAAGTCAGCTCCCGCTCCCTTTTCGAAAAAAGGTTGAAGCCACATACCAACGCTATAAACCTTGCCACCTCAATTCATCCTTTTGACAACAAACATAGTAAAGGAAGGCCAAAGCCTTGAAGCATGGAATGATGAAACTTGAAAGATGACTCACTCACTATTTTGTTGATTATAAGATAGTTTAAACTTACTTTTAGAGAAAAATTAGAATTTGAAATTTTAAATTATGGTCACCTAATGTCACGCCCTAGCCATCCCCTCCCTGATCACTCATTTTGCTTGTCGTGGAAGAAAGAAAGGATATGGAGAGAATGGAGAGATGAGACGAGAGAAGAGATCTAGAGAAGAGAGAGAAGGTTCTATGGTGCTTGATCATTCATTGTTTCTTTAAGTAAAATTATTTGATAATTATAAGTTGCCTCTAATGTACTTCTATTTTTAATGATTTTGATTTTGATATACTTCTCTCTCTTGAAAGTGATAAAGATGTGATATCTCACACCATAGTGAATTTTTATTGCATAACTTTAATTTGGTATATGATAAATATCGTCATTCTAAATGCTTTGACTGGTTTATATAAAATTTCACCAGGTAGAATGAGAGTTATGATTTTCTAAAGAAATTGAATCGTATAGATATTGTCATGCACTTTATAGATTATTTCAATTTATACAAGACATTGATGCATATAGAAAATGATATATGATTGATGCATGATAAATATGACATTTCTATGTTAGCAAGAAAGGCTGACTGTCTTTCTAAAAAAAGAAAGGCTGACTGTCAGCACTCTAATTATTATAGGTTGGCTCTTAAAACTTAAACCATGTATATGAGGGTGAGCTAATAGGCTTTCCTTAAAATGAAAGTTTTATGATATAATCTTGGAAGCTAGTCTATAACCGATTGATTTGCTATGCCAACAGATTGAGAGTATTAACTCTTCGTTGATTATTGAAAGCCACATATTAAATTAAATTAATAATAATAATAAAAAAAAAGATGTGATTGATTGATGGTCGATGGATAGATATGTCAGATGGAATGATGAAAATATCACATTAAAGTTGAATGTTCTATTTTGTTGAATTCATAATAATTTGCATACATGTAACATACATTAGTATATATGATATGATAGATATAAAAATGACATATGATATAGAATTGGCATATATGACATATAACAAATAAGATGGAGTGATTGATAGAATGATGATATGAATATATGATAATATATGAGAGTGAATATGATTGATCTATATATGATAAGATTGTATATGCCATATATGATATGAAAAATATTATTTTTATTGATTGTTACATGTTCTTATAGTATATGATTATTGTTTCTGATTGAGGCATTGACTTCCGTTATAGATTTTGGATATGTTTTGTGTTATTTGCTCATTATGTGATTTTTATATTTTTTTAGATAAGGGTAATGATCCTGTAGGTTGATGTTGTTTTGAGCTGCGGGTTTTTTCTTTTGCATATGATGTTATTTATGTTTACTTTTGTAGTCAAATTGTAATTGTAGTAATATATTGTTATTAGTTGCATATCTTGACTATTATATAAATAATTTTGGAGTTTAAATCAAGGTGTCAATATTGATTATAAAAATGTAATCATATTTTTGTTGTTTACATTTCCTGAATTTAATTGATCATCTTTGGTTGTTGATGAGTTGATTGAAATAATATAATCATGTATAAATCTTTCAAATTTAGATTTCGGGGTGTGATACCTAATCCAAAGGAGAATATTTATATAGTTTTGAGCAAGAAAAAGAAAAAAATTTAAATTTTTAGAACATTTGGAGATTTTCTAGCTTTTTTTTTGCTATAGATATTTATTGTTTGAACAAATATTTTAAGTTAAAAAGATTAAAAAAAAAAGAAGATAAAGTTAGAAGGTGTTATAGTAGATATGACGATGACGATGATGATGATGATGATGATAATAATAATATTATTATAATTAATTTTATTATTAATTCATTGTATTGTGCATATTATATAGAAGAGGGCAATCCAAAGGGTGTGAGAGTGATTATAAGGATCAACATACTTCTAAGAAGATATTGGATATATAAGCATAGGATCAAGCTATAATATCTAAGGTGCCTTTTAGTATATGGGTGGATATCTCTTTCAAACTCCATTGTTAAGCACGATCATAATGGATCAGTCCTGAGATATATATTCTTCTAGAAAATTACTCAAAAATGATAAAATTATAAAGTTCAGCTTAATATAGGATGTGCTAGTCTAAATTAGACCAAATCTTGCATACTATATCTTGGATCATTATAATTGATATCAGAGTCTAACATCTTCACAAAGTGGGAACTGGTTCAAATGTTAAGTTCTAAGAGATTTCAAAGGGATTGATGGAGATGAAGCTTAGTAAAAGAGCATCTTTTTAGAGGCTTTCAATAGAAGAGAGGATATAATGAACCAAATACTAATCTGATAGTAATATAAAATAGTATATATAGAACAAAAAATACGAACCTAACAAAAAAAAAAATCACCCCAAGTTTCACAATTCAACTAAAGACAGTGAATGCATAATAAATATTCATTATTACATAACACTTGATGCAGAGCATCTTAGTTAAAATATATCTTAGGCATATGTTATTTATTTGTTTCAAGGATTCTAGAATGTTTTTGATTTATCTAGGTTTTTTTAGCTAGCCTATAAGTATAGGAGTTGTAAGGGAAAGAAGTATGAATGAATATTTTTGGAATTATAACAGTTTTGGCAGTTTTAGGTCTCCAAGAGTTGTCTAGCCTTCTTCTTCTTGCTTCGTCATGGTTCTCCCTACATCAACACTTCTGTGTCTAATAATGATGCTAGGTCTGTGGAACAATAAGCGATTAAACTATATCATTAACATAAAAAATTAAGCAAAAGGAAAATGCCTTTTTCAGGAATCTGCAATCTTGTAAATATAAAACAAATCATGGCCTCGTTATTTGCAGGAGGAGTTGGCAGAGCTTAGAAGGAAGAACATGCAAGCAAAGGAAGATGCTCGCTGTTCCATTGAGAAAATAGCCACACTTGAGCAACAGCTTGAAGCACTCAGACAAGAAAATTTTGAAGCCATTAGAGAAAACTCGGCGCTAAAAACACATTTGCGATGCACAGAGTTCTCAGCTTCAGAGCTGGGAAAGGCGACCAACGATTTCCATCCCTCCCAAAAGATAGCGGAAGGTGGGTATGGACCAGTCTATAGAGGAATCCTTCGCCATACACCTGTTGCTATCAAGGTGCTGAACCCGCAGAGCAAACAAGGCCCTCGTGAGTTCCAGCAAGAGGTAAGCCAGAAGAACTACCCATTGCTTATTTCTTTCGGAGTACTTTTTCCTCTTGAAGCACATTTAGCAGAAAAAAATATTTTATAAAATAATGAATTTGATTTACTTTATTTTGAATGTGAAAAAATAAAATCTTTGACTTCTAAGTGTGCAAGCAAAATTTTGACTTTTGAGGAATTTAGAGTGTATTTGAAGAGTCAAAAGTTAGAATTTATTTTTAGTTATCTTCAACCACTTTTTTCAGCCTCGTTTTTCATTTTTCCTTCAATAAAACTCATAGCACCCACAGTCCATAATAGCAAGAAATTATTCTGTGTGGAGCACGTACGTAGGTAGAGTATATTCTAGATTACTGTTTAAGTTCTGCATATGCTATGCCTAAGCTCTGCATATATACTGCATATTTGTGGATACGTAGCAAATAAACATCAACAAATACACAATATATACACATAACATAAGCAGAGTAGACCATTAAGAATAATTTCTCTCATATACCACAATAACTTATTTATTTATTAGGAGAGATCATCCGGCTGATTAAAATTCTCTATCTCCCTTTTATATTTGAGTAACATCTAACTAACATTTTACTTTGTACTGATCTTAATACAGATGCTTGTACTGAGCAAGATCAGGCACCCCAACGTGGTAATACTCCATGGTGTCTGCTCCGAGACCTCCGCGTTAGTATACGAATACCTCCCAAATGGAAACTTAGACGAAAGGTTATCCGGCAAGAAAGCTCCACACCTCTCTTGCTGGGATCGTTTTCGCATCATCAGCGAGCAGCGCTCTGTTCTTCTCTTCTTACACTCTAGCCAACCATATGCCATCGTACACGCTGACCTGAAGCCCCAAAACATTCTCTTAGATGCCAACAACATCAGCAAGCTCGGAGACTTTGGCACAGCCCGAAAAATACTTCTAAGCGGAGCCGAAGATGAGTCTATTTGCTTGGGAACAAATCCAATGGGAACTATGGGTTATATGGACCCCGTATTCCTGACTGATGGATTGTTGACACCTCAGTCAGATATTTATTCTTTTGGGATTCTGATTCTGAAGCTTTTATCGGGGTTTCCAGTTCTGAGGATTAGAGAAAGGGTGGAGGAAGGATTGAGGAGAGGAAGCGTAAGTCAGCTGCTGGATGATTCAGCTGGGCAATGGCCGGTGGTGCAGGCTGAGAAGCTTATGCAACTTGCATTGAAGTGCTGCAGTTTTGAGATGAGTTGCAGACCAAGCCTTTTGTCTGAGGAATGGAAGATTCTTGAGACCTCGATGGCAATGACAGGTATATTTTATGGCATACTTGTATGTTTAGTTATTTCTGTTTAAATGTATGTGACAGTAAAAAAATCCCACATCCAAAGTTAAATGAGAATTAAGATCAGAACACTTATTTTTTTGCTTATTGCAGGAACATAATGAAATTCGAGGAGGTGATGAAAATTTTTGAGACAAGGAAATATGAAATTTTCTTATTGATCGGATGAATACTCCGCAGCTTTTTACTCCAAATCTTCAAAAGCCTGTATTTTGATTTTTTTTTTTATTTGATAGATTGTGGGCATAATTTCCATCATTTGCTGCTTCCCTTCGTTTTCATAAGGCTGAAGTTCTATACCATGTGTATATATGCTGATGTAATTATGTAAATATATTAATTTCTTCCAAGCAATTTGTGATGCCCCAAGATCAAACTTGGAAAGAATGTCAATCAATTACTCAAACAATTTACCAGAGTTATCTAAAACCTTCAATTAAGCAGTCTATCAAACATCTATAAAATTTAAAACATCAATATACAAGTCGAAACAGTAAGAGAACGAGGTCTCACACAATTGATGTAATCTGCCATGAGTTTGAATGTAAATAAGTATGCTTGGCATATGCAAGTATGTTTTGCAAAACTTAGGCTTCGTTTGAAATGGCTTCTTTGCTACTTTCCGAAGTAGCTTTTTAGTATATAATTTTTTAGTTCAAGAAATTTTTATATTAAAAATTTATTTTAAAAAACAATAAACAAATCATCCCAAACGAAGCCTTAAAAGTAGTTAGTTTGAAAGTATGATGTTACAGCAGGATAGCTACCACAGAATAGTTTGAGTTCTTTATTAGTTTTTTTTTTTTATAAGCAAGATAGAATGCGAATTTTGAGATAAGTTGTAGGGTCAAACCCAGCATTTCATTTATAGATCCAGAATTATATAGGAGTTACACAAGGATCAAAAGAGTACATCCAGAGATTACAAGTGAATTGAGACAAACATGCAAAAGAGAAACAAAATAACAAAATGGCAATATAATAGGGCTCAGACATTCATAAGTGGTATGTTGTACCGACTCTGCTTCTCTCTCGATAATACCAAAGCTATTGCAGCAATAACCTCGCCACTACTGGCTGCTCAAGCTAAAGTGGATATGAGCCTACGGGTGGAGTTAGCCATGGGCAATGTCATCAAGATAAAATTTATCAGATTAGAGTGTGCTTTTCACTGTTCACCATGGGTAATTTAAGCGTTATTCTAGAAATGAACTAAAACAATTACTTAGAAATATATACTTAGGGGCTGTTTCGCAATGGGATTTATGCTCGATTTGAGCAGTTATGATGCCGTTGGAAGTTACGGCGGTCAGAAATTAACCTAAAATTGTGATTTATTTCAAGTAAACAAGATTGATAAAAACAGCAAGAAAATCTCAATATCTCCAATGAAAACATTCCAAAACAATATATTGTAGTATAGGAATCAAACCAAAAACAAGAACAAATAAAGATATAATTGATCCTCAATTTGAGAGGAGGATCGTTCTCTTCCAATCTCTAGATTGATGAATCTAGAGCCCAAAACACCCAAGAGAACTCCAAGAGAATACAATAATAAACATGCCCTAATTCTCCTAATCTCTTCTTATTTAAAGCAAATCCCCCTTCTATTTACCCTAGCCCCCCCTCCCCCGTCTTAATTTCTCATTAAACCCATGGGCCCCACCTTCTATTTACGGCACCTCCTTTTGGCGGCTAATTCAAAGGAGGCGGACCAGCCTTGGTCCGCCTTTTATATGTGTGAATCTGCCCCTTATCTAGGGCCGGATGGACTGATCTAACATTCTGCATTGAATCTGACAAAAAATAATAGCCAATAAGTGCGCTGACTTTGTTAACTTGTCAATCACCACTTAAATTCAATCATGCCTTTGTCGTAAAACCTGCAATAAAGTTCATAGTTATGATCTCTCACTTTCACTCAGGTATAGGCAATATGGCTGCAATATTCCTCTAGGCTTTTGATGGTCAACTTTAACTATTTGGTATGCCTTATATTTAGCCAATAAAATTAGCCATATCTTTCTCCCTTCCAGGTCACTAGAACTAAGAATTGAAGTCAATACATTTTAGTACGAGCTAGGTGAATTAATTATTTGAAAAGTAAGCTTCAGCCAAGATCTCCTGAATCAAACTGGAACCCAAAGATGTCCCATACTTCTGACCGTTGTTTGATCTTCAAGGCTAAGATCATGCCTTTTTCTGATCGAATATGACCCATCAGCTTCAGGTATTTCCCACTAGACTTCTGTGTATTCTGAATTATCTTCCACAATAGGATACATGATCATTTGATATAAGTTACAAGGGTCTTAATCATCCTAGCTAATTACTTTTAATTGCAGGGTTGTAAAAATCTCTGATCAATTTATTCTTATGAGTTAGCATCCAATTAACTTGTCTATTGGACTTCCTAAATCATGCATCAGCCACCACATTGGCTTTCCCTGGATAATACTTGATATCGAAATCATAATCTTTAATAAACTCCATCTATCTTGCTGCCTCAACTTTAACTCTTTTTGAATAACAATATCTTAACTCTTGTCATCAAAAAATACTGCACACCTCATACCACCCACCGTACACCGCACACCGCACACCACACACCGCACACCACACACTGCACACCATATGAATAATGCTTCCATATTTTAAAACCAAAAACTATTGCAGCCAATTCCAAGGAATGTGGCAGCTAATTCCTTTAATGTGATTTCAAGTATCTAGAAGCATATACAATTATTGAAAGGATTTCAGTTGACCAGAGCCTCCAATATTGGAATAATAGTTTTGTTGAAAAGTTAAGGATAGATGGACAAGAAGATGCTTGTGCCATCCAAGCTGCTGAAAGGATTTCAGTTGACCATAGTTGTCTGGCATTTAGAGGAACACCTTATGTTGATTGTGAGAAATACAATTCAACTATGTTTTCATCAATTTCATGTTAAGGGCCAAAGGCTTTCCTTGCTCAGAGTTAACTCAGTTAAGTTTCTCTCGTTTGGTAATATCTTACTTTTCGGGTATTCACATTTCTTCATTAAAGTGCTATATAAGTTTTTAACTTTACAGCCACCTGAAAAACAGCCTGATTGTTGAATCACAATGATTGAGCTAGAAATTGTGGCAAAATTGATTTATGAACCATTTACTGATGGTTATATGTGTTTGCATGCAAACAAGCTGGTCATTCTCCAGTATAACACGAAAATAGATTTATTTTCTACTTTAAAACAACAAAAACATCTTTTAGGCATAATATTTGGAGAAGGGTTGTCTAGCTTTTTTACTTGATTATACTTTGACTATATTCAAAAGTACTTAGGTTGAAAATCCAATATTTTTTTTTTATAAATTTTTTAATTTGATTTAGATGAAACATTTCCAAGCTTAAAAGAGAAGTGTTGAGGATTGATGTTTGGTTGATAATCAATGATATGCCATAACTATTGAAATGAGTTCAAATTTATGCCAAGGAAAAGAATTTTGCTTTAAGTAGTTGCAAATAAATAAATATTTGTTGAGCACTATAATGATAAGTTAAAGCCTTGCAAAGAGTGATAAAAAATAGAAATAGGACAAAGAGCTTGAATATAGAGGGACAAACCATTTATATTATTGTTTAAGGGGTTGTTTAATTGCAAGTAAAAGGAAATCAAGTGTATTCTCAATATAATGTAATATGAATGTATTATATAATTGCCTTATGGGCTGTTTAATTGCAAGGAAAAGGAAATCAAGTGCATTCTCAATGTAATGTAATCAAAGTGCATTGTATTTGAAAATTAGGAGATTATTTTTTGTGTTTGGTTGAATTAATAAACTTGAAGGTTAAAAATAAGAAAAAAAAATTGATCTATCGAGACAAGAAGGATCACAACAAGAGGATTTGTGGCTTGCGGCATTCTAAGTTTTGATAGGGTGGGTGCCGACAAAATCTACAGTTTTGATGGGAAGCATTGCGACAAGAGCAAATTGGGGCGGCATTGAAAGGATCGATACCTTGCTATAGCTCGTTGGTGCGGCTTTGAGACTGGACAAATGGAGCTCGTAGGGTTTCTGATAGAGGTATGTGTGCTGGGGATTTGTAATTCGCCCGATTCAGGCGAATTTTGAATCTCTTAAAAATTAACTAAGGTTGTTTTTGAAATCCTTAGAATTTTCCCTGTATTTTTTTACCTAGCAACAAATGCTCTAAAATTGAAAATATATGCATTTGCTTTACAACCTAATGTTGTGGAACGAGCAACCCCTTAGAGAGACCACCAGAGACATTAAGGACTCATCATCAAACGTTCATCATATACAGTTATTGACAATTAGTGCACTCTGGAATGGAGTTTAAGATAATAAAACTTTATTTTATTATAGTGCTCTAAAAAATTACGGAATTTGCTTCTTGATGGACAACAAAGTTTTGAAGCGTCGACAACTACTATAAAGCAAGCAGAGGGAAAACAAATAATAACAATGGAAGCAATACACTGCAAGATAATGTAAAAACAAAAATAACAAGCAAGACAACAACTTGCTAAAACTAAGCAAAAATAGTGAAGAGAGGGAAAAACAACGACATGAAAGAAACAAATAGCAGTTGATGCAACATCGAGCATAATAGCTATAGTTCTTGAGAACTTTTGCCATTTAGCTCGGAGAAATAGAGGAAGATAGGAATACTTACACTTTTAAGAAATTTTATTGGATTTTTTTGCAAGAAATAGCTTAGTTATAGTATCACATCATGATGTAATCTAGAAATAAACTTATTGTTGACCTCATCTTAAGGGTCGGTTCATCCTCCTACATGTTACACTTATGTGTTCGATCAAAGGTCAAATCATGCATTTTTATCTTGATTCGTCGACTGCTTTGAAATTTATTCGTTACGATTACATATTGTCATATATTATATTCTAAAATGTGTGATCGGGTTAATGACGATTGGATGTGTATTTTACGTGCATTTGAACTTTTCATGCAAATGTTCACTCTGTGCATAAAATCTTTTGATCCAAATCTCATTTTGAGAAACAGATTGCGACGTTGTGTCCAGCTCGTCGAGACAAGTCAAACGAGCCTACTCGTGTGTGAATCAAACATTATTTGATGTGTCAATGAGAGAGACCATCGCGTACTTTTTCTTAATAAATCTGATAATTAGAATAATTTAAAATCAAATAAAACTTTGATATATAAATAAATAATTTTATTAAAATAAAACACATCATTTAAAAATAAAAAAATATAGTTAATATACATACACATATAATAAATGGAAACAATAAACCTTCACTCAAATTGTCTCATATTAAGCTTACATATGAAATCAAATGGCTGAAATCTGCCAAGAGGATATCACTTTTGAAAGCATTTCAAAGGCAATAGCAGGATTCAATCTTAACCCTTAGATTTAGGGTTTTCAAGGATTATAACTTTATTTTTGATTCTATTCTGAGATAGGTTTTGACTAAGGGGAAGAGAGGGGCTGCTAGGGTTGGCCACACTCCAACAGATCCACGGGTCAGGCCCCTCACACAACTCGAAGCTGCAAGATCTCCTTCGATTCCTGCTAGTGCCGACTACACTACTTGGAAGCCCGATTTCTTTTTCTCTTCCTCATGCAAGCAGCCCTCTCATTCTCTTCCTCACTCCTCTCTCAACCCACACCTCTAATGCTTGCTTCATTCGGCCAAGGAAGCAAAGGGGAGATATCTGCTCTAAATTTCTATTTTTATTCAAACACAGGAAGAACAGGTTCTGGTTCACTCCAATAAGCAAGAAGGTATACTTTTCTCTTCTATTTAGTTTAGAAAGACCAATGTATTGTTTAAATATGAAATTGCTACTATTTTTTTGTATAAAATCCTTACAGATTTTTATATGAAATTGCTACTTTTTTGTATAAAATTCATTCTGATTTTTGTATATAATTGCTACTGTTTTTGTATAAAATTCATACAGATTTTTCATTATGTTTTGCCACTACTTTTGTATAAAATCTATACATATATTTTTTTTAATGTTTGGCTACTGATTTGTTGAATAATCTATACAGATTTTTCTTGAAGGATCTATGAGCATTTATATCATATAAATGCTCATTATTTAATTAATTTTTCTCGCTGTTTTTGTGAGGAATTGGTAGAAATTTTTATCATATAAATATTCCTTGTTTAGTTAATTTTTATTACCTTAATTTATGAGGAATTGATACAGATTTTTGTCATATAAATACTCATTGTTTAATTAATTTTTCTCACTATTTTTGTGAGGAATTGCTACAAAGTTCAGCCAAGTAAAGTGTGAGATTTTCATACCTTGTTTAATCTTGATAGCAAAGAAAATATACATCTATATTTCTATACAAAGAGAGTATTAAATATACATTTTTTTCTACAATTTTTTGGATTAGTTTCCTACTGTTTTTGTATAAAATATCTACAGATTTTTGGATTAGTTCCCTAATGTTTTTGTGCAAAATCTTTATAGATTTTTGTATTGATTTCCTACTATTTTTGTATAGAATCCATGCATATAGATTTTTGCTATGTTTTGCCATTGTTTTTTGTACAAAAATCTATACGGATTTCTCTTGAAGGATCTATATAAATTTATGTCTTGTAAATGCTCATTGTTTAAATAATTTTTCTTCACTATTTTGTTCAAGATCATCTAAAATGTATAGCATAAATATTCATTGCTATTAACCATATGCAGAAAGCTTCGATGAAAGTTTCCCTAAAATATGCAAAGCTTGTTGATGAAGTAGATGGAGTCGTCAATAGCTTGTTATCTATTTTAGTATTTATATTTCGAATGTATCACTGGCTATTGGAAATATATATGGAGATTGATAATAATTTTTTTCCTCCAATAAGTCTTGCGCCTGCCCTCTTTGAAAGTTTTGTTGGAAAGAATTACTGTTTTATTATGACTTACAAGATGTTGATAATTTATTGTGATAAATTGTTTAGTGTCGAAATATCCATGAAGATGACTTTCTTAGTGAATTTATGTGTTGTTCCATTGACGGATTTGAGAAATTAAAAAATGCTAATTGCCTCATCTCTTTCAGTTTTTTGTCTTTTAGAGGTTGAGATAATGATTCCCTTATGTTTTAACTAATCATATGTTAAATGCGTCATTCATTGTCAAAGATATGTAAAATTTTTGCATTTCAAGAATCATGAATAGGGTAGAAGTTTATTATGTATAGTTGTGCTCCAATAACATGTATATATTCAATGATGCTTTGATTCAATTGGAAAATTGTTGCGTCCTGGATTATTCGCGGTAGTAGAGAAATATAAAATTTAATGTCTTAACTTTGTACGAGGACCCGACAAACAATTAGATAAGAGAGAGGATGTAGCATTTATGAGACATCAAGATTTTTACGTGGAAAACCCCTAAAAAGGGGGAAAAACCATGGCGCCTAGCCCAGTTTAATTGAATCCACTATTATTTACAGTCGATTACAAATGAGGCCCTTCCTTTGGGGGAAGGCTTTGGCTTGATGTACATTATATGAAGTTCATGATGGGAATACAAAGAGTCATTGTTGACGTGTTCGTTTGGTCGGAAGGACCATAGTCGATGGGCGACGTAAGTCGAAAGGACCATAGTCGACAGGCAACGAAGGTCAGAAGGACTGTTGGTCAGAAGGACGGCGTCAGGTAGAAGTCTAGCAATGGACAGAAATCCTGCATCTGATAGATGTCCGGCGAAAATCCGACAATGGGCAGAAGTCCGACGTCGGGTAGAAATCTGGCAACGAGCGGAGGTCCGGCGTCGAGTAGAAGTCCGACGTTAGTCGGCGGCCGAGGAGAACTCTGATAGTTAGATGGTATTCAGGCAAAACTCCAGAGTTACTTGGAGATCGGACAGAATTTCGGCGTCACTTGGAGATCGGGCGGAGTTTCGACGTCACTTGGAGATCGGGCGGAGTTTCGACCTCACTTGAAAGCCTGGCGGAACTCCGGCGTCACTTGAAAGATCGGTGGAACTCCGGCGGTAGTCTTGGAGTTTCTTCCCTCCTCTTCTTCTCTTCTCCTCTTTTTCCTTCTTGCTTTTGGTCCCCTCTTAAGATAAATGAGGGTTATTTATAGTTTTTTTGAGGATTACATGACCCGTAAATAGGAGGAAGATTAAGGGCAATTGTGGAGTGGTTTGGATGGACGGCCAATATTGAATCCTTTGATCATGGACCGTTCATCCGACATTTGAAGGTCTTAATGATATCAAAATTCGGCGATCTTGGGCTCGTTGGATTCGTCTCGTCAAGCCGCTCGATTCGACTATAAGCATGTCATGTTTGGAAACCGTTTGGTAATCCAAATTGTGGTTTGAACCTTCCAACAGTGCTTCGGGTCTTCGATTCGAACACATTTGGGCTCAGATTCAGTTGAATTTGGTGTCGTTGGGTCATATTTCCAAGACGCTTAGGTCGACTATAAGTTTGCTGAAATCAGAGTTCAGATGATCCCAGATTTAATTTTTGAAGTTTCCGGTCTGATTTTGCCTCGAGATTCATGCCCGATCAAGATAATTTTTTTATGATATATCAAAAATCTTAAATATTCTTGTATGATTTAATGTTAGATGTGGATGCAAGCTCAACAAGTTATAATCATATTTCTTCTCTCTTGCAATAAAAAAAGAGTTGATATATATCTTTGGAATGTTTTGCAAACATCAACTTATTGTAACGTATTACAAAGTGCTGAAATCTCCTTTTGACAAAATATATTGTACCTAAATAATATACTTGTGAAGAGTTGCAAAATGCTGAAATTCCTCTCTTAGTTTGGTTACACTGAACACTTCTATGGGTTATTATCTTAGTGTTGCTTTAGCTTAATCAAGTTTAACTTCTTAGCTCCTTATAATACAGTAAGTACATCAAAATATGCCTTAATGTTCAAGGGCTTTGATTCATTATACTTAATAGTCCACTTGAGGAATAAACATCCTCAATAATTATAGCTTTAAACATAGTGTGCATTGTTCGGATAAAGTCTGAAAAATTGAACCTAATTGGTCTTATTTGGTTGACTTAGCTTGGCTCTTAAACTATTGGTTTGATTATTAATTATAATTCTTTTCTTTTTTTTTTTTGTAAAATTGATCAAATCAAATATTGAAAATTTATTAATTTTTTTAAATATTAGATTAATAAAGTTATTTGTTTACAAATGACATGATAAACCACATGAATAGGGCTGCAAGCGAACCAAACGTTCGACGAGCTACTCGTTGTTCGGTTCGATTAAAGCTGGTTCGTGATCATTTAATTAACTAAACAAACAAACTTGAACAATATTTTAAATACTCGATTCTAAAATAATCAAGCTTGAACACTAATGCCTTCGGCTCATTTATGTTCACGAATAACATCATTTAAAGTTCGTGAACAAGCTCGACATTATGCTCAATTTGTGTTCGATTTTGGACTCGTGAATAAGCTTGATAAAAATAATTAATATTTGATTATAGAATTAATAAATATAAATAATATAAATAGAGCTCAACATTAAGTTCGCGAATATGCTCGATGTAATCGTTTGTTAGGAAGCTCGATAAAGCTCGTTTGTTAAGTTAATGAACATCTAAAAGTAGAGCTTGTTTATAACTCGTTCATGTTTATTTGTTTAAAGCTCGATAAGCACTAAACGAACATGAACTGAACATGAAAACTCATTAATTTAAATGAACCAAACATGAACACAAACAATAAAGCTCGAACAAACATGAACCAAACTTGAACAACCTGATATTAAATGAACACAAACATAAAGCACTTCACATACTCGGCTCGGCTCGTTTGCATCCCTACACATGAAAATATTTGACAAGCTAGGAATATATCATATATCCCATTTGGAATCTGGGTTTCACTACTCGCTCTACTCTCTCTCTCTCTCTCTCTCTCTCTCTTCTCTCTTAAAACCATGAACGCTGACTTCGTAAGCGGCGACGCCTCAATCCCAACCTCCTCCTCCGCTACCACCTCAATCGACTACCACTCACCCATTGGCTTCACCGTACTCGTCTCCGTCGTCGCTCTCTTCATCATCTGTTCCTTCGTCGTCTTCGCTCAAAACTGTTTTGCCAACCAACACCATGACCAAGCAACCACGACGCCCGCTTACCCGCGAGTCCTCAGCGTAGCTGTGCCACCACTGCCGGGGCTGGATGCGGCTGCGGTGGCAGCGCTGCCGGTTGTGAGATACAATGGCGGCGGCGGCGAGGGGTGTGCTGTGTGCTTGGTGGAGTACGGTGTGAAAGAGATGGTGAAAGTGATTCCTGGGTGCGGACATGGGTTTCATTCGGAGTGCATCGACACGTGGTTGATTAGGAGGGGATCGTGTCCCGTTTGTCGGTGCTCGGAGCTGCGGGGGCCGTCGAGCGGTGAGGTTTGTGTGGGTGTGTTTGGGTCCGGTGAAGGAAATCTGTGTGGGAAGACGAGTATGAGTTGCGACCGTTGTTGTTCTAAGGCGGAGGCGGGTGGGAGTCCGGGTGAGATGTTCCTGCGGCGCACTTGTAGCGTTTGAGAATAAGTATTATTTTTTTTATCGAATATGATTTTAATTTTATAATTTTGTTTTACTCTTTTTTTTTTTTAACAATTTCTTCAACTCCTAATCGATTTTTATTCAAGGATATATACTTTAATTACCAAGTATAATTATATTTTTAAATTCTAATCACATATTTTATTTATTTAATATTTTATTAAAATTTTATTTCGATAATCTATATTCTTTGTTTAGTATAAAAAATCTTAAAATTTTAAATATATGATAAGTAATTGAATATTTAATTAAATCAGTTTAAAATAAATATATTTTGCAACTTATTAATTTTTAAACAAACATAAATTTATCAATAATGTTCAAAATTTTTTTTATTTATATGAATAATAATATAAACATATTTAATATGAATGAATTTTAACTTTATTAAATATATCATAAAAAAATTATAGTGTTAATCCATAATTTTTCTTATTTCGAACTATTTTATTTATGCATGGTACATACATCATCATCATAAATGTCTTTAAGTTATTTTTTAGTTTATATATATTCAATATTATCTTTATATAAAAATAATAATATTGGTCATGGCGTTGTGCATACGTGGCACTTCGCCGGGAATCCTTCGCCGGTCTATGATGAATGATGGTGTTAAATGAGGGAGAAATGAAAACGGTGCAGGGGATTGCGTCGGCTGGATATGGATCTCTTGTGGAGCTGAAACGTGTACAGCCATGCAAATGATTTTTGTTTTTCTGACAATATAGTATTTGATGAAATAATAACTGAATTATCTGTCATTATGATGCTTGTTCTTGACTTTGACTTACTGTCACGGATGTGAATATTTTTACTAAGCATGAAGAGTATTAACCGGGTTAGGGTACCCCCGAACCCAAAACGGGTCGGGTTCGGGTTAACTCTTTGACCCGATTTTGACCCAAAAACCTGATTTTGACCCGTTGATGAAATAATAACTGAATTATCTGTCATTATGATGCTTGTTCTTGACTTTGACTTACTGTCACGGATGTGAATATTTTTACTAAGCATGAAGAGTATTAACTAAGGATGTCAATATTTGACACGACCCGAAAATTCGACTCGGATCCGACTCGAAAATTTCGGGTTAGGGTACTCCCGAACCCGAAACGGGTAGGGTTCGGGTTAACCCTTTGACCCGATTTTGACCCAAAAACCTGATTTTGACCCGGCAACCCGAGATTGACCCGATTTTGACCCGGTTTTGACCCGAAAAGAGGAGATTGACCAGTTTTTGACACGAAAATTAGCAATTTTTTTGTTGAAAATGGGTCATTCGGGTCGGGTCGGATTCAAGTCCAGGAAACTGACCCGTTTTTAAAAACGGGTCGGTTTCGGGTTGACCCGAATAGTGTCGGGTCAGTTTCGGGTTCGACCCGAACCCGACCCGTGACCCGAAATTGACACCCCTAGACTATTAACACGCATCTTATCTTAGATTTCATTTGTGACAATTTTTTTTATTAAAATTTAAAGTACTTTTTAGTAAAAAATTAAAAATATTGTACTAGAAAGCGACTCTAAGAAGCAGTAAGAAAGTCGTCCCAAATAAAATCTTAGACTGTTGGTTGAAAGTCTTAGTTATCAATCGAGAAATTTTTGATTTGAAACATGTGTATATAATATTTGTGAACTTTACTTAATTAATCTAATTGTTAAAAAAAATGAGTGTGCTAGATTTTCTTAATACATTGATGCATTTGCTATTTGATCTGATCATCATTATTTTCACGAAAAGAGTATTTTTTATAGTTCTATAGAGTTTGGTTCCAATCGAGATAAAATAATATGGGGTTGGCTCAAAGTTGTGGTATTGTCAAATTTGATAGCTTTTTCAAGAGAATGGATAGTTTGATAAAAGGTTGACTCACTAGGGTCAAGTCAATTTCTTTTAACAAAAATGGATCTTCATTATAAGTCATCGTTTGAAATAGTTTTTTATTGCTTTAAAGTGATATTTTAATACAAAATTTTAAGTTTAATAAATTTTGTATTAAAAAAATTATTTTAAAAAGTAATAAAAAAATTATCTCTAACAAATTATAGGTCTTCATGATCGGTTAAAATCAAGTCAAGATAAGATTGAGATGTCATTTTGAGAAAAATAAAATCAAATCGGATTAAGTGAGTCCATTTGAGCCAATGAAGTTTAAATTAAGTCAACTATGACCCGAACACTTATAGGTGTGTTCTATAGGGTCCGCATAGTGAGTGAGATAAAAGTTTATATTAGGTTGATTTAAGTGTTGGCTAACTCTAAGTAGGTCAAGGTCAAAATTAGGTCAAATGAGTCGGGCTTATGTTAAAGGACGAGCCAAAACTAGGATGCCCCTATATTAAAAATATGCTAAAAAAGAGGGTGAAAAGTGAACACCAAGTATATTTTCATTGATAGTAAGCATATGAATTTAACATAATTTTAAAAAATAATTTGGGATGCTAGAATTTACACAAAGACTATTTTATTTCACTCAAATTTCTCAATCTAGAATGCCACACATAAAAGGAAGAGATTACTCCTAATACAAATACATTGTATATACATTTTGTGTTGGGAAATTTCTATAAGTGGACCCATATTATTATACATATAAATACAGTTTTATACATTAGTTGCTATCGAAAATTAAGCCAATTAAATTTGTGATCTATTTAAGTATTAAATTATTATTTGGCTTATGTGGCATCTCATTTAAATTTTGTATGGAATTAAATTTGTGTAGAGGCCGGGTATTTATTTTATTTTAATGATGGGCTGAAATAAAATATTTACACTTTAAGTATATAAGGGTCGTGGTCCCTAATTTAAGAGGTGAAGTTCTCATTTCTCTCATTTCCCATCTTGAGTGAAAAGAATGGGTCTCTCGCTCTCTTGGAAAACACCGCTCTAAACGTGGAAGATCGAAAGACATTGATTCTGCATTTCAATGAATTCATGTCGCTTCCGAAAATTTTTCTCGATGATTTGACATGTCGTTCGGAGACGATCGAATTGATTTTTTGTGTCTCCTTTAAATCCTAACATTTTGAACATTTGTAACTCGGGCGATGATGCACAACCCTTATTATTATATGATTGGTGAAAGTATTATTAAATATGTGCAGCTCCTAATCTTAAAGTAGTTTCATAATGCCATCATCTCAAATGCGATATCCTCTTTATTTATTGTGCTGATATCTTCTTCTTTCTCGCTAATCTGGTTCTCTTCATTCTAAATTTTTTTCCATTGAAAATATCAAGATTAGAGCATAGGTAGAGCCAACTATATATATTATTCTTAGAGCCGGCAGAAAAATATCTTTGATGAATGGTACATCTGTGTGGCCATACTGCCATCATCTCAAATGAGATATCCTCTTTATTTATTGTGCTGATATCTTCTTCTTTCTCGCTAATCTGGTTCTCTTCATTCTAAATTTTTTTCCATTTAAAAAATTTTCCATTGAAAATATCAAGATTAGAGCATAGGTAGAGCCAACTATATATATTATTCTTAGAGCCGGCAGAAAAATATCTTTGATGAATGGTACATCTGTGTGGCAAGATCTACAAGCAGGATTTTCTACTACTAATATATTCATATCAAACAATTAGGGGCGGAACGGGACTTAATTTTCAGGAGGGCAAGTTTCAATTTTATAAAAATATAAAAATATATATAAGAGTAAAAATAATTTATTTTTTATATAATTGATTTTCACAGACTTGTTTGTTAGTGTTAAAAAAATTTAACATAATTGGATGAAAATAACAGAGGACAAGAGGTTTTTTTTATTTTTGGAGGATCAAATTGCATGAAAAAAGCTAGAGGCAAAAATAAAATTCAGAGGTACAAATTACAAATAACTCTTATTAGACTAAGAGTTTTAATTTTTTTAAAGGAGAAATTAGGCTCCGATTCCATTGTTAAATAATTGTTACTGGAAGAACTGTTGAGAGCAGATGAGAATTAGGTTTCAATTTTGGGCAAATTTTTTATTTTTATTTAATAAAATTAGCTTTTTAGATAGCAAAAAAAAAATTTTTTTGAACTAAAAAGAAAAGTAGTAAAACGCTATCCCAGAAGGAAGCTTTAAGGATGAGAGGAGGAAATTTGAAAGAATAGAAGGAAATTTGAAGGAGAAGAGTAGGTAGGGAAGGAGCTTTCAAAGACTAAAAAAATGGCTTCTTTGTTACTTCATATTTTGTCAGATTGTGTTAAAAATCAAGAAGTTCTCATCATTTTCATTGATGAGCTTCGCCATTAGATTTATTTTAAATGCATCATCTTTGAACAAACCTAAAAAATAATACTGTAATTCTCTTCAATATCATCTTAATATTTCGAGAAAAATGTATTAATTTACAAATTGATTAAACATCAGCGCTTTACATACAATAATATCACACCGGAAGGCTACAGCTATCCTCGGGCTTTCCAGCTCCGGAAGCGGCGCCACCGCACCCTTCCACCGCCACATCAGGCATCGTCACACAAACCTGCGGCGCCGTCACATCAGACCGACAAACAGGGCAGCTCAGTCGAGTCTGAAGCCAAGCATCGATGCACCGAGCGTGAAATCCATGGCCGCAGCTCGGCAAGACACGAACTTTTTCTCCTTCTTCAATTGCCGAAAGGCAAACCGAGCACTCGGAGTAACTAATTTGCGAGAGAGACGGCTCATCCTTTGTATAACACATGACGGGGATTGAATTTAGAACCTTTTTCACATCGTCTCCGGCAAACTTCTCCGGCGCCGGAGAAGTCTCAGGTTCTTCACGGCGGAACTTTTTAAGAAAGAAGTGGAGGCCCGTAAGCAACACAGCAGCGCCGACCACGATGCCGCCGGCGATGAGGAGAGGAGGGAGCAGGACGTTGGAGTTTGCGACGACTGGAGGTTGGGAAATGTCAGGGGAGATGTTCATGGTGAAGAGATTAGTAAATTGATCCTTGATTGTTAATGTTAATTTGATGGAAGATTATGCAGTTTGTTTGGGGATTATATAGCAACTGATTTACTAATTTCTCTTATTTGCATCGAATAAAGAAAATGGAATGGGGATTCGGTGGGACACTTGTGAGAAGGCGGAGGTGCTATGTGGCATTTGAGTGCGATGGGTTGCTTGTGTGGGGCAAATTATTGCATACGGTCATGAGATTCGGAGTATAGGTTCGGACATTCAATAAAAACTTATCATATCACCTGCGCTTTTGACTTGCACTTTGACTGCGCTTTAGGTGCGTTTTGACTGCGATTTACCTGCACTTTTGACTTGCACTTTGACTTGCGCTTTGACTGTGCTTTGCCTGCGCTTTACCTCTGCTTAATTTAAAATAATATTTTATTAATATCCGAACCTATCTCCCCGTTCGGTGACCGGATGCAATAATTTGCCCTTATCTAAAGTAGTTTACTCACTCAGATTTTGAATTAGTTTCATATGGTATAATTACAAAAAATATATTAATATAAAATATTAAATAATTAACTCTTATGCGCATATTCAAAATTTTAATTGACTATTTAACCTTGCTTTTGATTTACGTAATGAAGGGATAGCTGCTTGTGCTTGTCTTTTAAGCCTTTAAAGATTTTTGAATTTTAAATTTTAGATTTTTATTTGAGAGCTTCGTTTTAGAATAAATAAGCTTGACTTAAATTAATTTATTTTGGTTCTATACATAGAGGTGTTACGATATTATCTGGATAAGCGGATACTCATATGACCACAAACATGTTGACCAAAATTTTCAAATTCAATGAACAAAAAGCTGGGCCCAATTAATACACCATCAAAAGTGATACGTAATGCAAATTAGCTTTGATCTGGGCACGAATCTCGAGGCAAAGCTAGTTGGAAACTTCAAAAATTATTAGGTCCCGAGACTTCGCATCCCGAATTCTTTAGCAAGCTTAATAGTCGAACTGAGGCGTCTCTCTGGAAATAACGGTGAACCCATTAACGATACCCAATTCAACCTAATCCGGGCCCAAAATGGGTCTCCAAACTTTCAAGGACTCCGAACCTAGCTGCTTTGTGGAATGGTTCTATAAACCAGCAATTTGAGTTACCAACTACGGTCTCCGATTTATTAATGAAGCTTTTACTCACTTCGGAATCGAACCGGCCTCGACGAGAACGTAGTTCCAAGAACGACATCGCCTAAGAATCAGACATGAATTCCGACATCTAAATTAAGGCCTTAAATGTTTGCCATGCACGAAGACGGTGCACTGTTATTCGTATTGAATCGTACAATTCGTCCCTTTCCATTACTCGACCCACGCATACTATATTTGCGCCCCTGATCTAACTCCTATTTTACATGTCATGTTTACTCCAGAAAATTTTAAATAGAGCCTCATTCAATGAGAAAGATGATCCAAGCTAAATTGCGATGAGTAAGGAGAGAAGGCAAAAAGCTCTTTCTCACTATTGGGATAAGCTTCCACCGCCTCGGAGCTACCTTCGTGCCGTTACCAACTTTCCAAGGCTCGCCGGACCACCGCCCGATAGCCTCCGCCGGACCCACCTTCCGGAGCCTCCGCCGGACCACCGCCGGAGTTCCGCCGGCACCACCATCCTCCGGAGCCCGGATGTTCTCGACAGGATCCCGACATCAGGCCCGAAAGTGCCTACTAATTGCTGACATTAGGCTCAGGAACCAAACGTTGCTCAAGGCCCGAATTTCAGGCCCCCTGAACGTCTTTCATCTTGGTCCCCTCAGACCTTCCTCCAAAAAAGCCTCAACCTTCGTCAGAGGCCCTACCTTCGCCAGAGGCCCTTCACTTTTACCAGCGGCCTTCATCCTCGCCAAAGGCCCTTAACCTTTGGCCAGAGGTCCTTGTCTTTTCGTCAGATTAATTCAATCAAAGGCCTTAATGCCCCTCCACGACACCCACCTGGGCCCCTGGAACTTCTGCTGAGCACTAACTGACGTCAAAAGTTTTCAAAGTACCGCCCCTACTAACAACGGATCCTTCTAACCTTTGTTTCGCCCTACTTACGGTCCCCATCCGACCTCCCATCACTAGAAACGGTTCTTTTCCAGACCCCCAATCCTCCTTACCGAACTTATGGTCTTCAAGGCCCCTTCGTTCGCCTACTACGGTCATCCGTCCTCATCAACCAGACCAATCGGTCTTTCAGACCACAGTTCTTTATCGATTTACGGTTCTTTTCCGGCCTCCATCTATCAACAGCCAATGGTCCTTTCTTGAACCCCGGTCCTCCTGTCGCCTTACGGTCCTTTCTTCCGAACAGACAAACCTGGGTAAATATTATGTATTACAATTCTACTATGGTAAATGCAATCTGTATGATGTACACTTTGCTACATCACAATCCCGGCCTTCTCCCAAGGAAGAGCTCAATTTGTAATCGACTACTAAATATTTAGTGGATTTCATTCAAACTAGCCCTGCGCCCCGTGGTCCCTTTTCCCCCTTTTACGGGGTTTTCCATACGTTAAAAAAACTTCTGGTGTCTCTTATGAATATTTCACCCCCTCTCTTATCTGTTTGTGTGCTGGATCTTCGTACAATGCTAAGACGTTAAACCATATATTTCTCTACCGCCGCGAATATTCCAGGACGCAACAGAAGATTTTTCGGATGGTTGTCTCTTTTAGGTCGGTCGAAAATTAGTCGCACCGTCAAATACTCTTTCGATGATGACAGTGGAAGATACCTCATTCAAAAAAAAAATATTTGAAATAATAATAATAAAACAACTTTACTACATTTTGATTTATTTGAGAGAGTTTTTTTTTTTTATAAGTTTCTTTAAGTAGTCTACAACTAATATAAAATTTGTCGAATAATCGTTTTCTTATTACAAATTTTTATAATAAAAAGTTAGTTTTATAATAATTTTTTTCAATATATATGATAGTTTTAAGAAAGTAATCGTTTGATTTAAACAAATAAATTTATATTACTTACAATAATTTAAAAAAATATATTTTTTTTTTCTCCCATCAATTCCAAAATTAATTTTACCAAATATTTCAGTATTTGCGACCCAAAAATAAGTGGGACACCTGGAGAGAAGTGGCGAGCATTATGGAGGCCTTGGCAACCTTAAATGCTTGAGGTTCTCTTTGGAGAGTTTATAAATTAGTTAGCTGAACTAACTGGAAATGTGAGGCTTAACTACCAATATAAAAGCCCCAGCTGGTATCATAATCAATACTTATAATAAGAACTATTGGCCTTGTAATCAAGTGCTGAATTGGTATGAGCCAGCTGGCTCTTCAGCCAGCTCAACTTCTTCTCAATAGATAGTTTTCTGGGTCAAATATCAAGGGCTGGCAATTAAATTTGAGAGTCTTGCTCCACTTGTCCACTTCTGAGTCGCTTATCGTTTATTACAAGAAATGTCTTTAAAAATATTTGAATTGAAGAATTTCATGATATAGCATAGAAACTTATAAATTTAATGATGAAAGCTAATGTTCAAACTACCATTGTCCTTTTTGCTTTGAAAATTTGGTCTTAATTATTTAGATTTTTTTTTTTCTAAAATAAGTTTTAGATATAAAGAGTTTTGTACTAAAAGTTGTTTTAGAAATTGATAACAAATCTGTTCCAAATTGATATATCATCAAAAATTTATATTGACTAGACACGGATCTCGAGGCAAATCAAGCTAGAAACTTTCAAAATTAAATTTGGAACCATATGAACTCCGATTTCAGCAAATTTGTAGTCGAGCTAAACAATTCAAAAATATGAACCCAACGGCGCCCAATCCGACCCAATTTGAGCCTAAATGGGTCCAAATCAAAGGCCCAAAGCTCATTTGGAAGGTTCAATCCATAATTTGAATTACCAAACGCTTTTTAAACGTAACATGCTTATAGTAGAAACGAGCAGCTCGATGAGATGAATCCAACAAGCCTAAGATTGTTAAATTTTGATATCATTAAGACATTCAAATGTCTGATAAACGATTAACGATCAAGGGATTCAACAGCAGCCGTTTGTTCAAACCACTCCCAATTTACCAATGATCTTCCTCCTATTTACTGGTCATGCCACTCTAAAAAAATTATAAATAGACCCATCATTTCTCATGTGAGGGGACTCAAGTAAGAATAGAAGGAAAAAAAAAAGATGATAGTTTTTTTGACACCAGATTCCACCTCGAATATCGTTGGACTTTAGCCCGGCCACCGTCTGTCGCCGGATTTCTGCCCAGCCATCGACGGACGCCGAACTTTAGCTCGACTTCCAACTTACATCGGATTTCTGCCCGATCAGGAACTGACTCTTAACTTCCGTCCGACCTTCAAATTTTAATCTAACTATTGACTATTGTAATCTGATTGTCCTCAATTTCAAGGATGAATAAGGCACTTTTAATTTATTCAAACACTAGTGGAATCATTTTAACTGGGCGTGACCCCTTGACTTTTTTCTTTTCCTGTGTTTTCACGTTAAAGATATGATGGTTCTTTTTTCTTCAGTTTGTGTGCTGGATATCTGTACAAGGCTAAAATAAAAAATCTAACTCTACCGCCGCGTATATTCTAGCTCGCAACACAAATAAAGCCTAAATGAGTTTTATTTTATTTCTTTTTTGGCTTCAAACTGGAGTTTTATCGCACATGTATATTTTCAATAGATTTGTTATAATATATTTGACTGTAAGCTAGCTACGTACAGTTTAAAGCATCACAATCTGTTAAAATTTTTAATATGACAATCTCTGTAATAATTACTACGGATTAGCTGCAAACATTAATTCTTTAAATTTGCTATAAATAAGTTGATTAGGTAATTTAACAAATTAGCGACAGGTTAGACCAGCTTATATATTAACTGATCGATCTAAAGCAAATATATTACGAGTTAATCCTTGCTGAATTTTTACCTGCAACAAGTATCAATAGATTGATGTGCAATTTGCTATGATAAAAAAATCGATGGATATTTCATTAACAATTATGCTGTTAATTAGGTATTTGTTGTCAATTTAGGTTTTATTTAAGATAATTTTTTTATTATT